ATAGGGCCAGTCTCCAGGATCATCCTGGAGTCTCCAGGAGTAAAGATGAACCTTTAATTAATTAATTAAACCAGCACTGGCAACCCCAGCCGGAAACAAGCACCGGCTTGGCAGCAGGCCCAGCTCAGGCAGCAAAGGGAAGGGGGGTGTGACGAACTGGGACTGTTCTTACTGTGGTCTTTGAATGCTGACAGGGGAGTGTGGCTAGGACAGTCTGCATTGGGGGATGGGAGACTGACCGACAGAGAGTACCTGAGCATGTAACATGAGAACCCAGGAAGGGGTTAGAGGCCAGGTGCCACCTTTGCCCGGGAAACTGAACAAAGGCTGTGGGAGGGGTCGCTGAAGAGAGAGTTTTTTCAGGAGCTGGCTGGTGATATTGCTGGGAGGCAGACGGGGCTCTGACCTCGCAAGGGGGCTGGGGCACCCTGGGACCCCAAGATGGACCCAACTGAGGGGGTTCCTGTTGTCTGTGCCTGCAAGACCTGTCTTGGACTGTATTCCTGTCGTCTAAATAAACCTTCTGCTTTACTGGCTGGCTGAGAGTCATGGTGAATCGCAGGAAGCCGGGGGTGCAGGGCCCTGAGTCCCCCATACTCCGTGACGGGGGGCTCCACCATTGTTCTTCAGAGAGGCCTCTAGGGTGGACACCACTTCTTGCTTCACTCATGTGCGCCCCCACAGTGCGCACACTGTGTTCTCGCCCCTACGCACACCCCCATAATCATCCATATGTCCAGGCCTGCCCCATAGGGAGCCCCCTGTCCCATTCCTGCGCCCCCCATTCCCCTACGTCCTGGCCTGCAGGTTCCCCTGGGCGGGGTCTGTTCCCACACTGCTGCCTCCCGGAGCCCTTGCCCAGGCTGTTTGTACTGTGAGCCACCTTTAGGCTGCAACTTCCACCCCCCAGCCCCATTATGTGTACACTGCGCCTGCCCCATTCCCAGGCTGCAGCACCAGGGGTGCAACAGCTGATTCTCAGGCCCTGCCCTTTGGGGAGTTGCCAGCCCATGCTCCTGGCCCTTCTGTTCAGCTGTCCAGTCTCTGCTCCCCACAGGCTCTGTGCCTTGCCTGCTGGCCAGCCAGCCTGTGTCCTACTGCTGCAGCTCCAGTCCTCTCCTGCTGCTGGGGCGCAGAGAACCCCATCCTTAGCCTTATCCTACTGCAGCCCAGGAGAGCCGAGGGTCTGCTCCCCTACCCCTGCTGACCTGCCCAGGCGGGAGAGAGAAAAGCAGTGAATCTGCTGCTCGGCAGCTTGCTCTGACTCATTGCTGCCTTTCTCTGGTGCTCCTAAGGCACTTGTCATGCTGGTGCCAATTCTCTGCACCCAGCCCAGCCAATTATACCAGTGCACTGGCTGCAGCGTCCCCACGCCGAGTCAAGAGCATTTCGCACCCACTCCTGCTCCCGTCGCCCTGGGAACAGGATCCGGCAGCTAAGTGAAGGGACACTCCTGGCTGAAATGAGATGGCTCTGCCAGCCCAGGTCCCAAGGAGAGCGCTGAGCTGGGGGAATAGTGCCGCTGTCTGTGGGTGAGAACAGACCTAAGGGACAAAGATGCTGAATCTTGGTTTAGGGTTTACAGGGACGCTGTGCCACTGGATCCAGCCAGCCTAAAGGACGCTGCGCCTCTCCGCAGATCCCATGACATGGGACATGTTGCCGAGTGGTGCGAAGAGGGGACTGGGCCCCAAGGCTTTGGGGTTCTATTCTTGCCTCCACCACTGAGCTTAGATTTATTTATCCATGTGCTTGCACGTGACAGGAGTCCTGCCTCCATGAGCCAAAGTCATAGGCAAGTTCTGAGGTTCCCATTAGAGCCGCAGGAGAGGAGACACGCAGCCTCCCAAACCTCTGCCGCTACCTGTGGCTGGGTGCAGATCCCCATCTGAGATAGCCACTGGGTGCCTGAGGGAGCCAACCAACCAACACTCCCAACACCAGCTCAGCCAGCTCACGCCATCCATCCCTGAGTCAGCCAGGCCGGGGAGCAGGGAGGCTGCCCAGGCCCCAGACACTGGGGTCTGCAGAGCTGAGCGTCATCCAGGTAACAGCAGCACTACAGCTCAGACCCCTCCTACTCCCCCAGCAGCCAGCAGCCTCCCACATGCAGCAGGGATGGGGGGAGACAGACTGGGGTGATAGGGAGAGACCTCCAAGCATGAATCCATCTTGTCAGTTGCAGCCCTCACTGGGGAGGCAGGAGGGTGCAGTGGTTAGAGGGCCCTTGCTATGGGGAGAGCTGCGTTCGCATCCCTGCTCTGCACAGCCACAGCCGCACTGCACCACCGGCACTGAGTCACTCAGGGCTAAATCCACAGAGGGACGTAGGTGTTGCAGTGCCTGGCGTTCAGGTGCCTGCCTGCCTGGGCGCCAGGCTCCCTGTACAGGCTGGGGCTCACAGAAACCAACACGAGAGCAGGGAGCTGCCCAAGCTTGCCAATAGCGAGAGGCCTAAGCCCCTCCCCTCAACAGGAGTTCGGAGCTCTCTTGGGATTCTCAGCTGTGAACCCTCTCCTGGAGGGGTGGGGATTTGAAATGGGAGTGCCCTGACCCCTGGGTATCCGGCTATTCTGCCATACCCCAGGCTGCTTGCCTGAAACATTCCCACTCTGCTGCCCACGGCTGTCTTTTGTGTGGGTCAGGTGTGCTCAGAGCCGGCCTACAGGTGAGATATGCGGGGGAGGGGTTGCCTGGTTTGAGAATCTGGTTTGACACCTTAAATGACTGCTTCTTGGAGCAGTTAGTCCTGGAACCCACCAGAGGAGAGGCAATTCTTGATTTAGTCCTAAGTAGAGCACAGGATCAGGTCCAAGAGGTGAATATAGCTGGGCCACGTGGTAATAGTGACCATAATATAATTAAATTTAACATCCCTGTGGCGGGGAAATCTCCACAGTGGCCCAACACTGTAGCATTTAATTTCAGAAAGGGGAACTACACAAAAATGAGGTGGTTAGTGAAAGAGAAATTAAAAGGTACAGCATCAAAAGTAAAATCCCTGCAAGCTGCGTGGAAACTTTTTAAAGACACCATAATCGAGGCTCAACTTAAATGTATACCCCAAATTAAAAAAACACAGTAAGAGAACCAAAAAAGAGCCACCGTGGTTAAACAACAAAGTAAAAGAAGCAGTGAGAGGCAAAATGGCATCCTTTAAAAAGTGGAAGATAAATCCTAATGAGGAAAATAGAAAAGAGCATAAACTTTGGCAAATGAAGTGTAAAAATATAATTAGAAAAACCAAGAATTTGAAAAACAGCTAGCCAAAGACTTCAAAAGTAATAGCAATTTTTTTAAAATACATCAGAAACAGGAAGCCTGCTAAACAATCAGTGGGGCCACTGGACGATCCAGATACTAAAGGAGCACTCAAAGACGATAAAGTCATTGCGGAGAAACTAAATGAATTCTTTGCATTGGTCTTCACTGTTGAGGATGTTTGGGAGATTCCCAAACCTGAGCCATTCTTTTTGGGTGACAGATCTGAGGAACTGTCCCAAATTGAGGTGTCATTAGAGGAGGTTTTGGAACAAATTGATAAACTAAACAGTAATAAGTCTCCAGGACCTGATGGTATTCACCCAAGAGTTCTGAAGGAACTCAAATGTGAAATTGCAGAACTACTAACTGTCATCTGTAACCTATGATTTAAATCAGCTTCTGTACCAAATGACTGGAGGATAGCTAATGTGACGCCAATTTTTAAAAAGGGCTCCAGAGATGACCCTGGCAACTACAGGCCAGTAAGCCTGACTTCAGTACTGGGCAAATTGGTTGAAACTATCGTAAAGAACAAAATTGTCAGACACATAGATGAACATAATTTGTTGGGAAATTGTCAACATGGTTTTTGTAAAGGGAAATATGCCTCATCAATCCACTACAATTCTTTGATGGGGTCAACAAGCATGCGGACAAAGGAGATCCAGTGGATATAGTGTATTTAGATTTTCAGAAAGCCTTTGACAAGGTCCCTCACCAAAGGCTCGTAAGCAAAATAAGCAGTCCTGGGATAAGAGGGAAGGTTCTCTCCTGGATTGGTTACTGGTTAAAAGATAGGAAACAAAGGGTAGGAATAAATGGTCAGTTTTCAGAATGGAGAGAGGTAAATAGTGGTGTCCCCCAGGGATCTGTACTGGGTCCAATCCTATTTAACATATTCATAAAAGATCTGGAAAAAGGGGGAAACAGTGAGGTGGCAAAATTTGCAGATGATACAAAACTACTCAAGATAGTTAAGTCCCAGGCAGACTGCGAAGAGCTACAAAAGGATCTCACAAAACTGGGTGATGGGGCAACAGAATGGCAGATGAAATTTAATGTTGATAAATGCAAAGTAATGCACATTGGAAAACATAATCCTAACTATACATATACAATGATGGGGTCTAAATTAGCTGTTACCACTCAAGAAAGAGATCTTGGAGTCATTGTGGATAGTTCTCTGAAATCATCCACTCAATGTGCAGCGGCAGTCAAAAAAGCGAACAGAATGTTGGGAATCATCAAGAAAGTGATAGGTAATAAGACAGAAAATATCATATGACCTCTATATAAATCCATGGTATGCCCACACCTTGAATACTGCGTGCAGATGTGGTCGTCCCATCTCAAAAAAGATATATTGGAATTGGAAAAGGTTCAGAAAAGGGCAAAAATGATTAGGGGTATAGAACGGCTTCTGTATGAGGAGAGATTAATAAGACTGGGACTTTTCAGCTTGGAAAAGAGGCGACTAAGGGGGGATAGGATAGAGGTCTATAAAATCATGAGTGGTATAAAGAAAGTAAATAAAGAAGTGTTATTTACTCCTTCTCATAATACAAAAACAAGGGGCCACCAAATGAAATGAATAGGTAGCAGGTTTAAAACAAACACAAGAAAGTATTTTTTCGCGCAATGCACTGAGTGGGTCTGTAACGGGCCTCTTCCCAGTGTAGGCTTGGTGTCAGGGCGCCATTGTCGCCATTGTAAACCAAGTTCTGTGTTATTCCCAGCAGAGCAGCCTGCCCAAGGAGACCTGCTGGCTTCCTCTTCGGAGACCAACAAATAACTGAGTCGTTGTCAACAATTGTAAGTAATCACAGAGCTCTTTCTGGGCAAACCTGTTTGATTCTTAAAGTAAAAGCACTACAGACCCTACAGGTATGTGAGAGCCCCCAGCCCTTCAGCACCCCATCCATGCGCTCACCTTGGTGGTCACAAGCTCATCACAGCTTCAGCTCAGAACAAGCACATGCGTTTAGTCCTCTCCTTAGCCAGGTCAGGGAGCAGAGAATTAGTAGACAGTGGGTTTTCCTCCCCGCAGCATAGCTTCAACAGGGATTCTAAGTGGGCATTTCCATTATTCCCCTTACCCCCAGTACTTCCTAGGAAATCTGCTTCACAGTATTGTTCCATAAAGCCCGTTGACATTCCTAATCCCTCCAGAGACTGCATTTTGGAGACAAGGCGGGTGAGGTAATAGAGTATCTTTAAACTTGGTCCAATAAAAGGTATTACATTGTCCACCTTGTCCCTCTGGAGATTACATTAGTCTTCTAGAGAAGGTAGCTGCATAGAATTGCACAATAACACACCCCCAGCTGCATTGTTAACACAATGGACCCCAAAGGTATTAAGCCTAACTCAATAACATTTAACTTAATTCAATAAAGTGCCTTCAGTCTATTGTTGGCCTGTCACACACGGATTGTACGCTCCTTGGACAGGCACCGTCTCTTTGTTCTGTGTCTGAACAGCACCTAGCATAGTGTGGTTCCAGCCCAGCACTCGGCCTCGTAAACTCTACAGCAGTGGTCCCCAAATTGTGGGGCATGCCCCCCTTTGGGAGCATGGAGGAAAGTTTATGGGGTATAGGGGGGCTTGGGCCAGCCCCATAGGGTTGGGGAGGGAGCACCACCCAGCCCAGCTCTGCCCCCAGATCTGCTCCTGCCCCTCCCTCATCCACGGCTCTGCTCACGGCCTTGGCCCCGCCCCCAGCTCTATTCCCGGCCCCGGCTCCTGGGCGGGACAGGAGTAAGGGGTGCATGACATGAAAAGTTGGGGACCCATTGCTCTACAGTAACACAACTAAATAACTAATAACTGAGCTGTGCCTGGCTCTGGAGCACCTTGGTCATGGTGGTCTGTGCCCCCAGGCCCAGCTGCAAGGACCTTGGGCATTTCTTTGTGTCTGCAGCTGCTGGGGGGCCCCATGGGGGTTCTGGTGAGGGCAGGAGGCCAGGACAGATTGTTGCTGAGCTCAGGATCCAGAAGCTGATCAGCCTAGTGGTGCAACAAGGAAGAACGCTGTGATGAGACGTTGTCAGCTGCCCCCCAGGGAGTGAAGCCCCATGAGCGTGAGCCTTGCAGAGGGGTGTGGAGCAGAGGAGTGCCAGGGCATCGGAGCTGGGCCCGGCGTGCCTCCCAACAGTCATTCTGGCTTCCCCACAAGACACTTCTCATCAAACCAGATCTATTCTGGGCTGGAGAAATCACAGATGCTGCAGAGCGTGTGGCTGGCTCAGAGCCTTCACGTGGATCCAGTCCTCTAAGGGTTAAATCAGAAAAATGAGCTCCGTGCTGGGTCAGTAACTGGAGCAGCAGGTGGCCCAGCAAAGTGTTAATAACCAGGCTGCGGCTGAGTCTGGCTGGAGGAACAGGCTGGGCAGCACTGAAGGGGCTGGTTCCGCACCACTGACAACATGGGTGTGGGGCCCATCTGGGAAACCACAGACCCAGGCTGTGCCCAATGCCCAGGGCAGAGCAGGAGCCTGGTCTCGCTGCCTGTGCTGGCAGTGGGAGCTGACAAGGCGGGTGGATGGTGCTGCCATGGCCTGGATTGGCAGGGGCTGGAATTCATGACCAGTTAGTTAATGCCCAGGTGCTGTTGGCAGCAGGGTGTCAGGGCTGGAACCAAATCCTTGGATTCGGGGCCCCTGCTGGGGGAGATTCTGCAGCAGCTGCAGGAGGTTTTTACTGGATCTGATGTACAAACAAAGGCTGCACCCGGGCGGTTTATCTTGAGATTCAGATGAGGTCAATTTATCTCTCCACACGCTCAGCTTTGAACCTGCCGAGGGTCTTTGTATCCCAGACTCAGAACTGCAGCGTGGCAATGGCAGAGAGGCAAAGCTGGGTATGGGGCTTGGTAGCTGGGAAGGGGCCCCTCAGGGGGTTGGTCCCCAGAGGAGAGGGTTAGGTGTGTGGGATAAGCACGCTAGCTGGATCTTTCTGCTAAAATGTTCAGCTGTGAAGCAGTTAACAACTGTCATTTAAATTATCCTTAGGTTTCAGAGCCAACCCCCCATTTAAATGAACAGGGCTGTTTTCACCTCTTTTGTTTCAGGCTTGCTGCAGACTCAGGCTGACCCTGCTGCTTGGTCTCATTCCACTCACATTTCGAAGGGGTTTTTGTGACCAGGAGGGCTGGAGTTATTGTGGAGGAGCTGAGATTCTGTGGCAGTGAGGGTTCTGTGATTAACCCCACAGCTACCGAATGACAGACGCCACGGCCCCTGATCAACTCTCATTAACCCCGTACAGCACTCTGAGGGTTAAATGACAGGCATTCTTAGCCTAAGGTTAGGTCAGCCCTGATCACCCCCACCCCCCAAGTTAGCACTGGAGCGGGATCCCTATTGACCTAGCCCAGAAACAGGGTGGAAGCAAAATGAGGGGCAAGGGGGCTCTCAGGACTGCAGTGGGGCCCATCATGGAGGGAAGCTGCTGTAGCTGAGAATGGCTGCAGAGATTAACAATCAGATGCCATCTTGGAAGGCCACGGGAGGGGGGACAGAGGGCTGCACTCAGCTGCAGTGCCAGGCTTTGGTGGCCGTCAGGTGAATTCTGCAATGCTTAAATTAACCAACGTGGGCATTAAATACAAGCGCTCTGAGCTTTAACAAGGAGACGCCAAGGCCATGGAGGCACTAACTACGCTGCATGGGCGTGCTGGGAACATCAGCACATGTGGGGCCACCCGAGTCAGGCCCTGAACACCAAGCACAAGACTGTAATTAACAGGCAAATTGCACCCTAGGCATAGGCGTAGTTTGACTTCTCTATTGGGGGTGTAAGGGGTGGGAGGGAGGGGCTTAATCATACGTATAGATCTACCGACTGATAGTGGTAGATCTACTGATTGTTAGTGGTAGTTAAATTACAATGTACCCAAAATCACAAATACAGTTTACATTCATTATTTAATCACCCTTTTTTATTTTAACTTAATTATTTGCCATGTTTACCAGCTACCACTTAAATCATCAGCATTAGCTTAAGAACAAATTACTGAATAAACAGAACCGAGCACTAGGAATCATGTCTCCCTGGTTTGAGAGTTGCATAAAGATTGTCTTAATATAGAAATACTGTAGAAGCATTAGTCTTTCCCTACGGTTAGCTTTTCTCAGTTTTAGCTAGAGTAAAATAATTTGATTGGATCTAAGTTAAAATAGAGTCATATTTTACTGAAGTTAAAACTTTTAAAGGTCACAGAGTCACTTTTCCACAGGTGTTTTGCATCATCCTGTAACATCTAATAGAAAATTATATCTGTGCTACAGCTTTTTAGAGTAATTTCTCAAGATGCTTATTTTAATTCCCATTGAAGTCAATAGGAGTCTCTGGTAAGGTCTACACACTACACACACACTGCGGTAACATGGTACTGAGGGGTGTGACAAATTCACCCCCTGAGTGATGTAGTTATAGCGACCCTAACCTGCCGTGTAGACAGCACTACGTTGGTGGGAGGGTTTCTCTCTCCCATTGGCTTAAAGCAAGGGTTCTCAAACTGGGGGTCGGGACCCCTCAGGAGGTTGTGAGGTTATTACATGGGGCGGGGGGGCATGACCTGTCAGCCTCACCACAAACCCCGCTTGCCTCTAGCATTTATAATGGTGTTAAATATATTTAAAAGTGTGTTTAATTTACTAGGGGGATCGCACTCAGAGGCTGGCTGTGTGAAAGGGGTCGCCAATAAAAAAGTTTGAGACCCACTGGCTTAAAGCATCCTCCCCAGACATGCTACAGCGGCGGGGTGGGTGGGCTGGGTGGCCCAGGGTGGATATTCAAGAGGGCGCCGCGCTGATACACCCCACCCACTTGACCTGCCGACAGCGGGGCTTAGGGGCAGACCATTAACTTGCAGAAAACTTGTCTATCATGATGACAAAGATGTTGAAAGTTTAACATGTACTCCAAAGACTGTTTCTTCTCACCAGGCAAGGGGAAGGAACTTGATGTTGATTGAGAAGCACTGAACATCTTTGAATTCTATAGAGCAGAGCTGACTTATAGAATCATAGAATCATAGAAGATTACGGTTGGAAGAAACCTCAGGAGGTCATCTAGTCCAACCCCCTGCTCAAAGCAGGACCAACACCAACTAAATCATCCCAGCCAGGGCTTTGTCAAGCCGGGCCTTAAAAACCACTAAGGATGGAGATTCCACCACCTCCCTAGGTAACCCATTCCAGTGCTTCACCACCCTCCTAGTGAAAAAGTTTTTCCTAATATCCAACCTAAACCTCCCGCACTGCAACTTGAGACCATTACTCCTTGTTCTGTTATCAGGTACCACTGAGAACAGTCTAGATCCATCCTCTTTGGAACCCCCTTTCAGGTAGTTGAAAGCAGCTATCAAATCCCCCCTCATTCTTCTCTTCTGCAGACTAAACAATCCCAGTTCCCTCAGCCTCTCCTCATAAGTCATGTGCTCCAGACCCCTAATCATTTTTGTTGTCCTCTGCTGGACTCTTTCCAATTTTTCCACATCCTTCTTGTAGTATGGGGCCCAAAACTGGACACAGTACTCCAGATGACGCCTTACCAATGTCGAATAGAGGGGAATGATCACATCACTCGATCTGCTGGCAATACCCCTACTTAGACAGCCCAAAATGCCGTTAGCCTTCTTGGCAATAAGGGCACACTGTCGAGTCATATCCAGCTTCTCGTCCACCATAATCCCTAGGTCCTTTTCTGCAGAATTGCTGCCTAGCCATTCGGTCCCTAGTCTGCAGCAGTGCATGGGATTCTTCTGTCCTAAGTGCAGGACTCTGCACTTGTCCTTGTTGAACCTCATCAGATTTCTTTTGGCCTAATCCTCTAATTTGTCTGGGTCCCTCTGTATCCTATCCCTACCCCCCAGCGTATCTACCACTCCTCCCAGTTTAGTGTCACATGGCAGAGGGGCATTGCTGGCACATGATGGCATATATCACATTGGTAAATGTGCAGGTGAACAAGCCCCGGATGGTGTGGCTGATGTGGTTAGGTCCTATGATGGTGTCCCTTGAATAAAGATGTGGACAGAGTTGGCACTTGGGTTTGTAGCAGGGTTTGGTTCCTGGGTTGGTGTTTTTGTTGTGTGGTGTGTAGTTGCTGGTGAGTATTTGCATCACCTACTACAAGACAGGCCCAACAAAGAAAGTAACAGAATGCCACTAGCCGTCACCTACAGCCCCCAACTAAAACCTCTCCAGCGCATCATCAAGGATCTACAACCTATCCTGAAGGACGATCCCTCATTCTCACAGACCTTGCGAAACAGGCCAGTCCTTGCTTACAGACAGCTCCCCAACCTGAAGCAACTACACACCACACAATAAAAATACCAACCCAGGAACCAAACCCTGCTACAAACCCCGGTGCCAACTCTGTCCACATCTCTATTCAAGGGACACCACCATTGGACCTAACCACATCAGTCACGCCATCCGGGGCTTGTTCACTTGCACATCTACCAATGTGATATATGCCATCATGTGCCAGCAATGCCCCTCTGCCATGTACATTGGCCAAACCGGACAGTCTCTACACAAAAGAATAAATGGACACAAATCTGACATCAGGAATCATAACATTCAAAAATCAGTAGAAGAACACTTCAATCTCTGGTCACGCAATAACAGGCTTCAAAGTGGCAATTCTTCAACAAAAAAACTTCAAAACAGACTCCAACCTGAAGCTGCAGAACTGGAATTAATTTGCAAACTAGATACCATCAGATTAGGCCTGAATAAAAACTGGGAGTGGCTGGGTCATTATAAAACCTAAACTTAATTTCCTCAGTACTAATTTCTCCCTATTGTTAC